TTTTCAATGATTTGAAGTGTGTAAAAATCAGACCTAAGACTGTGTTTGCATGTACTTTAAAGCAAACTTAAAAAATTATAAAGTTTGAATCACTGAAACCCAGAATTAGATTTACAACAGAGATCTGCTTTGATAAAGAGCAGACAAAACTATAAAATATGATTTTCCTTTTATGTATAAGAACTCTTGGTCTGGTCTTGGTCTGAGTACATCTCCACCTCTGCTACCTCAATGTTTGGTTCCTCAGTGAAGACACAGAGGATGAGGACAGATGGATCAAGAGATGTTTCCAGGCTGTTAGAGTGAAACATTGGTTGAATCACCTATAAGATCCTAAAGCTGCTTTGGTTTGAGGGAGATTTGTTCACCTGGAATGGATATTTTATGCTGTAGAGATTAAATGTTTGATGTGGAGACAGAACAGGCCATGCTGACTCTTCGTTTACACTGATGGTCCTAAATGAGCTCTGGCCTAATGCTAACCTGATGTGAGAAAAACCTGCGGTTCCTGAGGTTAGTCACCTCTAAGGTTTAAATGTCTGATGCTGAACTGGAAGATCAGAGAACTCCTACAGTAACATAAAACCATCAGAAAGCGACCTCCCTCAGCCTTCTCCTAAAAACTCAGATTTCTGATAACGGGTCTCTGATGTTCGGAGGTGTGAGCATCAGAAACAGGATGACTAAGCATGCTACATTCTCCACCCTTAGAGCCCTCCCTGGCTCTCATTGAACCTTTACTCCTCATGTTTGCTGGATGACTTGAGCTTTTGATGCTACCTAACACCTACATACAGAAGAAGTTGTTTCCTGTTTGGACGTGGTGTTAAACCCACTGAACGCTGCAGTCGGCCTGTAGTTGGCAGCAAAATTTCATCACTTACAGCAGGAAGACAGACTCTGTAGGACACCTCCATGGATCTTCTCCAATGGAAGCAGATGGAGAAGGAGAGTGAAGACTCAAAACTCATCATGAAGTTCCTCTGGGCTCATGTTTATATCTGTCTCCTGATCTTAGGCTTTCACTCATCATATCTCAGATTATCAACAGCAGTTAGTTCTCGACCAAAGTTGTGCTTGTGTGTCAAAAAGAGAGCATAATGAAAAACTGTTTCTGCTAAAACTTCAACGGTTTCCATGTCAGAGGATGAAGAGAGCACATCCAGTTAGTCACAGTCAGAGAAGCAGGACTACACTTAAAAACATATCAACCTATAACATCTATAAACAAAGGTGTTGATGGCAGCAGCACAGCTGATATTTCTCTCCAGGAAGGAGTCACAGCCAAACAGGAACTTTAGATAAGAAAGGAAGATTGGATATAGGTCTACAATTGACCAAGTCATCTGGGTCAAGAGACGGTTTCTTAAGCAAAGGTTTAATTCCAGCAACCTTAAAAGCCTTTGGTACATATCCCTGTAACAGAGATAGA